TCAATCCAGTGATGTGCACTGGAGTCTCGGCTATCCCGGGGCTCCCTCTTCTCATTCACTGAGACAGAAGCGGGAGCTATTGGCTCTCACTGTTGTCAATCACAACCAGTGAGCCAATGAGAAGAGAGGGGGCAGGGCCGAGCTATGGCTCTGTGTGTGAATGGACATATGGAGCAGCGGGTACCCCCATAGCAAGCCACTTGCTGTAGGGGCACCCAGCAGAAAGGAGGGGCCAGGAGAGCCTGCGGGGGACCCGAGAAGAGGAGGATCTGGGCTGCTCCTTGCAAAACACTGCACACAGCAGGTAAGTATAGGCATGTTTTTTATTTTTTTCTTAAAAAAAAAGCCTTTAGAATCACTTTAATGCATTCTCTGCATTAAGGTAATAAAAACCTTTTAGGTGCAGCTCTCCCCCTTGCCCAACCCCCCCCCCCCCAGTACCTTACCTTATCTATGTCCAGCATTGTGCACAAAAGCAGAGGTACTGCTCTCTCTCTCCCTCCTCACTGGACTCAGTAAGAGCAATGGGAGCCATTGACCCCTGCTGGTGTTATTCAAATGCAGTGATGAGACAGTAAGGGGGTGGAGCCCAGCCGCACTGTGTGTGCCAATAGAAAAACACAGTGTGGCTTGGGAGTGAGCCTGCAGGAGTATTCCCCTTGCAAGCTGGGGTACTCGAACGCAAAAAGAGCCAGAAGCACCAGTGGGAGACCCCAGATGAAGAGGATTGGGGCTGCACTGTGGAAAACCATTGCACAGAGCAGGTACGTATAGCATGTTTGCTATTAAAAAAAACCCAAGACTTAAATATCACTTAACTGTAATTACGTTCGGTAGCTAAGTTAACCACTCACTGAGCATGCATCTTCTTTATCTTTTAACCCTTGCGTATCCTCCAGTTTAAACTGGTGCCAAGACTGTTACCCCTAGTCTCCCATTTCAGGGTGACTCCTTTGTCTTACAGTATCCAATGGTGAAAGAGAAAGAGAGAGAAAGAGAGAGAGAGAGAGAGAAAAAGAAAGAGAAAGAGAGAGAGAGAGAGAATTTGCATGTGTGGACCTAGCCTAAAATAGATGATTGATTTAAGCTAACAGCACACCTAAAGGCAGCGGCCGTGTTCTTTGTTGATTCAGTGCATCACAACACATGGCATGTTGTCAGAGCTGTGTAAATCACAGAAAGGGGTGAACAGAAATATAAATCCTTTGGGAGGCGAAATTACTTCTGTGTATTTAACTGTTACATAAATACACAATAAAAGGTGTAAACAGACAAAATCCAAGAGGAGAGCCCAGGCATGTCTTTGAAAGGTCATGCGTCAAGGCTCGTGAAATAAAATATGTTTGAAAACAGGAAAGAAAAACAGCACAGTCTGGTCACATGACCTGTCAAAGTTACATGACCAGGCTCTCCTCCCAGCAATTTTTCTCTGTACAACACCGTGCATTCTTATTGAACTTTGCTAGCTTCAGACTCCCAAAAGGGCACAATGCATAGCTGTAAAATACATTGCTGTACCTTATAATTGGGTGAAGCTTTCATTTTTCTTTATAAAGCAGCAGTATGACAGACACACAGTCACATCACTACTTTTTGAATATCATTCTAAATTTTGTTTTCATGTTTTATAGGGGTTTGTACTTTATGTTTAGAATTTTCCCTTGCATTTCCCACCCATTTGAGAGTAGTCATCAAGGAGACTAACAGCTTTAATTTCTACTGTCTACACCAGTGGTTTGGAGACCACTGCGGCTCTTTGCTAGCCTTTATCCAGCCCTTGGGGTAATAGTCCCCCACTGATTTGAGGCACTATTCCATCCATGACACCAACAGAGGGGCATAAATCCTGCCTCTGACACTATTAGTCAGGCACTATTCCTCCCACTGATATCAATAATGGGGCATTATTCCTCCCACTGATATCAATAATGGGGCACTATTCCTCCCACTGATATCAATAATGGGGCACCATTCCTCCCACTGATATCAGTGATGGGGCACCATTCCTCCCATTGATATCAATAATGGGGCACCATTCCTCCCACTGATATCAATGGTGGAGCACTATTCCTCCCACTGATATCAATGATGGGGCACTATTCCTCCCACTGATATCAATGATGGGGCACTATTCTTCCCACTGACATCAACAATAAGGTGCTATTTCTTCCACTGATACCAATGATGGGGAACTGTTCCTCCCAGTAATACCAATGATGGGCCACTATTCCTGCTTCTACTGAACAGAGGTGCAATGTAACTGACTACCAACCTTGTGGCAATGTTTATTCTCACTGATGTTGGGCCCAGGACATTTTCTACCCCCACTGGCCACAATCTGGCCCCCCTAATGTCTGAAGAGCAGTAAACTGGCCCTTTGTTTTTAAAGTTTGGAGTCCCCTGGTCTGCACTATGCCATCTTTAAGGCATTATATCGAGTAAAGCTGGCCACAGATAGCGCTATTTTCTACAGTTTGAAAAAAAAGAAAATCACTGATTCCTCCATCAACACGGTCAGTGTTCATGGGGGAATCCCTCCCACAAAGCCATTGTGTTCTCCCAGAGAGGGGGGGATTGCCCCCCTAGAGAACACAGTGATTAGTGCTAGCAGCTAGCAAATACGACAGGATGGTTGTATCCAACCAATGTAAAATCTGACAAGCTGGTTGTACCAAAATTGAGCGCTCAATCAACATGGCTACATTCAACCTGCCCATACATGGTTTGAATCTCGGCTGGTCCCTGCTGAACCTACCGATATTCAAAGCGTCTATGACTAACTTAAGACACCGCTTCGGTTCCTTAGCATATTATCATTCCTTAGCTTATTCTTCTAAACACTTGGCAGAGGTCACAAATAATGTTCTTAAGAGGGTTTTGCAGGGGCTGACATAAGTGATGGAAGAAAATTATAAAAATAAAATCTTTCTTAAAGAAGCCAGTCAAAATATTTCTGTGAGAAAGGTGGAATCTAATAGTTTACTGTTGACATCTCCAAATTTCTTTTTTCTTTTCTGCGCTTTGAATGAATCAGCCAAAACAATTTGCGTTCATTGCATTTGCTGTTTCAACATTATTTACTTAAGAAAAAAGCTATATAGAAAGTATTTCCGTATTTCACCTGTAATTGAAGGCGATGAATCATTCAGCTACAGAGCTACATAAAAGGTTTTTTTTTCTGCAGCACAGTAGTAAACTGATTCTTTAAAATATACTGCTCAAAAAAATTAAAGGAACACTTTTTAATCAGAGTATAGCATCAAGTCAATTAAACTCCTGGGATATTGATCTGGTCATTTAAGTAGTAGAGGGGGTTGTTAATCAGTTTCAGCTGCTTTGGTGTTAATTAAATTAACAACAGGTGCACTAGATGGGCAACAATGAGAAACAGGAATGGTTTTACAATTGTAGGCCACTGACATTTTTTTCCCTACTCATCTTTTCTGACTGTTTTTCACTAGTTTTGCATTTGGCTAGGGTCAGTGTCACTACTGGTAGCATGAGGCAATACCTGGACCTTGCAAAGGTTGCACAGGCAGTCCAACTCCTCCAGGATGGCAGATTAATACGTGGCATTGCCAGAAGGTTTTCTGTGTCTCCCAGCACAATCCCAAGAGCATGAAGGAGATTCCAAGAGACAGGCAGTTACTCTAGGAGAGCTGGACAGGGCCATAGTAGGTCCTTAACCCATCAGCAGGATCAGTATCTGCTCCTTTGTTCAAGGAGAAACAGGATGAGCACTGTCAGAGCCCTACAAAATTACCTCCAGCAGGTCACTGGTGTGAATGTCTCTGGCCAAACAATCAGAAACAGACTTCATGAGGGTAGCCTGAGGGCCCGACATCCTGTAGTGGGCCCTGTGCTCACTGCTCAGCACCATAGAGCTCGATTGGCATTTGCCATTGAACACCAGAATTGGCAGGTCCACCAATGGTGCCCTGTGCTTTTCACAGATGAGAGCAGGTTGACTCTGAGCACATATGACAGACGTGAAAGGGTCTGGAGAAACCGTGGAGAACATTATACTTCGTGTAACATCATTCAGCATGATCATTTTGGTGGTGGGTCAGTGATGGTCTGGGGAGGCATATCCTTAGAGGGACTCACAGACCTCTGCAGGCTAGACAATGGCACCCTGATTGCCATTCTGTATTGGGATGAAATTCTTGGACCCATTGTCAGACCCTACACTGATGCAGTGGGTCCTGAGTTCCTCCTGGTGCATGACAATGCCCGGCCTCATGTGGCGAGAGTATGCAAGCAGTTCCTGGAGGATGAAAGAATTGATATCATTGAATGGCCCCCACGCTTGCCTGACCTAAATCCAATAGAACACCTCTGGGATATCATGTTTTGGTCTATCCGACACCTTCAGGTTGCACCTCAGACTGTCCAGGAGCTCAGTGATGCCCTGGTCCATATCTGGGAGGAAATACACCAGGACACCATCCATCGTCTCATTAGGAGCATGTCCCAACATTGTCAGGCATACATACAAGCACATTGGGGCCATACAAACTGAGTACCATTTTGAGTTGCTGCAATGAAATTTCAGCAAAATGGACTAGCCTACTGCATAATTTTTTCACTTTGATTTTCAGGGTGTCTTTGAATTAAATCCTCTGTAGGTTGATAATTTTCATTTCCATCAAACGATGGGGCATCCTTACGTTCCTAACACATTACCCAGTCCATATCAGTATAGATATCCAGCATGATATTTTTCCCCATTGAGATCTGATGTGTTTTCAACTGTTTCTTTATTTTTTTTTAGCAGTGTATATGTTTTAGTTTCAGTAGGATTCTGTTACTTATTTTTAGTGAACTCCCCCTTTTCTTTTTAATATTTTTATACATAGCAGTGAGTGGATGTCAGGATCAGTGGGGGACCTTGGTTGGACTAGACCTGGAAATAGGGACAGGTTTCTTGAAAACATACAGCATTTAACAAGGTGGGAAGCTAGGTTCAAGAGCCATATGTGGAAGTCAGCCAAAGAAAGCTTGGAAACAGGGCCGACTGACCATTTGGAAACTCGGGCACTGCCCGAGGGCCCGGGGTCCCCATGAGATGCCCCTGGTACCTTTTTTATAGACTTTTTTGAGTTTGGCCAAGGACACAGGGGCCCCATGATCCCCTATTGACCGGGGGCCCCATGAGTTGTCAGTCTGCCCCTGCTTGGAAATCAAAGTCAGGAAGCTAAGTAGAGACAAGACAAAAATAGATACAAAGATGGACAGGAGGACAGGATAGAAGACAGTTGTGTTGACAGTAGGTTGCAAAACATAACAAGGCACAAAATCTGGGAGAGGCTGATTGTCCCTTTCAAATCCAATGGTGAGGAATCAAGAAAGAATTTGGGTTGCAAGGCACTTCAGGGTTGCAAGTTATGGATCACTCTCACAGACACTAACTGACCAAGGTCATGTGAAAAAAAGCAATGAAGAAGCCATGATTTAGGATCTAAGAGAACTTATCTATGTCTATGAAGACTTTCCTCCTTTCAAACATTGCTGAGCTGGTTATTTTGGAGAGATTTCTTTCGACAATCAATAATGTTTCTTGTAGGAAAAAATAAACATAACCACTGTTAGTATCCACTAACTGATCACTTTATTAGGTACACCTTGCTGGCAAAAAAATATCCCCCATGCCATTACACCACCATCACCAGCCTGTGTAGCAATCATGCACACAGAGATGGATGCAAACCTCCATTTTAGCAAAGGCCTCCATCTTCTATCATTTTCTACTCTCAAATCAGAGTAACATGTGGTCTGTATGATGCAGAGGTCACAGGCAATCAGGCTCAGTGGGGGAGCTCTGGGGCTATAAAATCCCAACCTAGCTGGTGCCCAGATGTCTGTTAGCTTCTCAATCTGGGATATCGTAAAGTCATAAAACCAAGTCCTTCACTGAGCTCAAAGACATTCCAGGTAGTCGTAAACCAGACATCACTTTCAACATCCATTTTCCCCTATGATTTCATATCTTGGAATATGAAAGACTTACTTTAGTACAAGTCGCCTGATATATTACACCCCCTAGCGGACATCTACAGGAGAGAAGAAAATGATATCTCCTTAACCGTCACAGCAGGTATGTCATATTTCATATCTAGACGTTCAGCAGATGCGTCTGCATATTAATCTACTAGTGGCAAGGCTGCTAAATGCACTGAGGGTAAGTTATGGGCCATGATATAAGCTATGAGGGATTTTTGTTCTAGCTAGGGTCTCCACCTGCACTTCCCTCCCCAAATGAGGCGATTGGTTCTCTGCTTCAAGGAGACACCCTGCGGAGTTCCTAGAAAAGCTGTTATGCTTGGAGCAGAAAGCTAAGCTGAGTTGAGCTAAGTTGAATATTCTCCCTTTTAACATCGGAACCAACTTTGGGAGACGGCCCTTTTGCTCTGAAACTTGAACGCTGCTTAAATCAGGACTTTTGGCAAGTACTTTATCTCTCTAAATTCCTTTCTGTTATCTCTTTGCTGCGTTATTGCTCTCTGTATATTTATATATATATATATATATATATATATATGTTGGCTACATCTTTTTCTGTAAATATTTTTATTGCACCCTTTGACCTTTTTAATAATAAATCTTACTTTCTGAAAGTGTTGAACTGTTTCTAAAGCTCTTTAATGCAAACTAAGAACCCCTGTCTCTGAAGAGCGCTACTGTGTGTTTTAAACGTCTGCATACATCTGTCTGCAGTGACATTGTGTATACAAATGGTTATTCAAACATCATAGTGTTATTGCTAATATTGCCAAGTTTCCTCTTTCTCGTAACAAAAAGGAGGTGGTGGCAGTGTGAAGGGTTAATTGCGTAATTAACCTGACCCAGTAACAATCGCTCTCAGGCTGCAGACACACAGATTGTGGTCCATTAGCTGGAAAATATTTGTGCGGGGTGCAGCTGGATGTGGCATTGTTACGCACGTGAATGCGTGGTTTTAGATTATCTAGTCCTTCGGTCACGAGTTTGGTGAGAAGGGCTGGGGTCTGACGCCGCAATCGTCACAACCTGTACCATTGATAGAAGTCAGGATGGATCCATGCTTTCATGTTGTTTATGCCAAATTTTGACCCTACCATCTGAATGTTGCAGCAACCAGTCTGTCCATTCTCCTCTGACATCATTCTGGTGCTTGGTTTGAACTTCAGCAATCCATCTTCACCACGTCTACATGCCTAAATGGATTGAGTTGCTGCCATGTGATTAGCCATGTGAGTAGCAATTTGTGTTACCAAGCAATTGAACACTTGTACCTAATAAAGTGGCCGGCGATGTGTTTATGTAATGGCAATGGTCACTCAGCAGAATGACTACTAGCTATACTTCTCTTTACCTCCATCTTATATCTAAAAGTAATATCTCACATGATCATACATAACTGAATCCACAGAAAATCAGCTACCACACAGTAAATTCCTAAATGAGCAAAATTAATAAATAGATAAATAATGCATACATAAAAGTACATAAATGAATAAAATAAAACCTTTACTAACAAATTTCCTCATAAACAGTGTAATCATGTATGATAAGCACATCTGAATACGTTCACTTACATACAGAAACAAGTCCTTAAAGAATAACTATAATGTATCACAAATTTAAAAAGGAGCCACCCAGGTGAACTATGGCCACAATTTTAAGATATAATCAAAGGTCTCTCATCACTGCAAAATATACCACAATGCAATCTATCTATGTCCTGCACCAAATCCGTGTTATTTATTGCTGTGGATAAATTTACACTTAAACAGATTGAATACAGCTGTTTCCATGCAAGGTGTAAATACAATAACCTGGTGGTGAAGATTGGTTCCTTTTAAGCATACTTTTACATATAAAATATTTTATTTGGCATAAAAGTGAAAAATATTTAGGTAGAACTATTTTTGCAGTGAATTCATATATGCATTTTATGATGTGTTAAAAGTAAGATTTAGTTCTATTTTATTTTTCCATTAAAATCAAATAAAACATGCTGGCATTTACTATGCACAGAAAGCCTAATTTCTTTAACAAATTTTCATTTAGTAATACTAGCAGAATTAGCCTTGCAGTAGCAATAAAATAAAAGAGAAGCTTATTCTAACACTGGCTAAAAGAATAAGTGTCCACTAAGCTATAACAACCAATAAAACCTTTGCTGTAATTGTTTTGGATCCCATTTTAGGGCACCCCCAGATGGACAGTATAAAAAAGGCCTCCTATTTGCTTTTAGTAGGTAAATCAATGCGATTTACCTTACTCTGTCAGTTTGCTGCTGACCAACGATATCCACCCACATCTTCTGATGCCATGTAGCCTTATTTTTTTATGTATCCATTCTGTTATCCATATACAATCCTAGTTTACAGGCCAACTCTGGATAATTTTTCAAATACTTATCATACAAGTGGTTTGAAACATATAATCTGTTTCTGCCACTAGCAACTTCAGTGGCTTGGCATTATTGAACCCAAATGATTGAGGACATACTGTGAAGGCATGGAATAAAAGTAAAGCGAGCGCTCAAAAATCAGCTGCTGAAACACTCCAAGGAATCACTGGACCTCATAACAAGAATAGTATGTATATATAGTGCAGCGCTGTATTGTAATTATGATAAAATAAAATAAATTACAAATAGTTCATATAGTCCTTTCACAATAAAAGTGATCATAAACATGTGAAGGCCTCCTCCTCATTAGGTGACTGGAATCAAACAGAAAAAATGCACACTCACCGACCGCGCATTTTAAATGCGCATGTATGCAATCTTATCCAGAAGACCAGCCAGGCATGCAGATCCATAGAACACATAGGCCATCCCTCTCAAACAATGACATCAGCCTTGGGTGCAGTGATATACCTCCAGGTCCAGAGAGCCCTCTCTCCCCAAGGGATAGGTAGATAGGGATCCCCCTCCTGGTTCCAGGTACCCCAGAAATTGGTTGATGTAGATCTGAAACCCTCCAACCGGCAAAGGTAAGAATAAGGGACCACCGGACCTCCTCGTGGTCCCAGTGGTCAGGAAGTCACACTTGCTACAGGCTCCTCCTGAGGCCTTTCGTGCTACAGCACTTCATCAGAGGGTGGATGCCATGGTTGGAGGGTTTCAGATCTACATCAACCAATTTCTGGGGTACCTGGAACCAGGAGGGGGATCCCTATCTACCTATCCCTTGGGGCGAGAGGGGCTCTCTGGACCTGGAGGTATATCACTGCACCCAAGGCTGATATCTTTGTTTGAGAGGGATGGCCTATGTGTTCTATGGATCTGCATGCCTGGCTGGTCTTCTGGATAAGATTGCATACATGTGCATTTAAAATGCGCGGTCGGTGAGTGCGCATTTTTTCTGTTTGATTCCAGTCACCTAATGAGGAGGAGGCCTTCACATGTTTATGATCACTTTTATTGTGAAAGGACTATATGAACTATTTTTAATTTATTTTATTTTATCATAATTACAATACAGCGCTGCACTATATATATACATACTATACTGTGAAGGCAGCATGGCATGGATCCACCACAGCACCTGACATTCACCGGCAATGATACAGAGCAACACTGACATCTCTACAATAATGGTGGTGGCGGTGGTGGGGGGTTGTTGAGTAACGGGGTGGGAAAGATGAGCCTGGATTTGGGACTGACAGTGGATGGATCATTTCATATTATTCCTTTATTTGACAGCGGGTAGGTAGGAATTCTAAATATTATTATACAGGATTTATATAGCACCAACAGTTTGCACAGCGTTTTACAAAATGAAGGTAGACATTACAGTTACAATACAATTTGGTGCAAACAGAGGGCCCTGCTCGTTAGAGCTTACAATCTAATACATTTTAATCCATCTTGTATACAGTTATTTTAAACCTTTTTGACCATCTTCACTGCAAAACAATATATCTGCGACAACGAGTTCAAATTAGTGGTAGACAGAGGGTAACTAATCAAAACAAATTGTCACAGGACAGACATAGTTCAAAGCAATACCAGGAGCAGATACCAGGGACTGACTGGCACAGAGGAGTAATTACAGAAATCACTTTCTCAACTCACCCTTGCTCAGGTAAAGAGTCAATGCCCCGAGTCAGATTTAACTTACTGATCAATTTGGTGCACATTAGCAGATTGATTGGAATCCTGTCTAAGCAAAGCAATCTTTAAAGCCAGGAAGAGGATGCGAACAAAAGGTGAGGGAGCATGTAGGTTTTTATTGACTTTTGTATATTATTGTAACAGAATATCTTTTTAAGACATTAGTAAATACAAACATAGAAATAGGTAGTGGCATAGTAGTTAGAACAATGAATCCCGACAATGACATTACCTGCATGGAGTTTGCATGTTCTCCCAGTGCTTGCGCCGGTTTCTTCTCACACTCCAAAGACATGCTGGGAGGTTTATTAACCCCAGTATGTGTGTGTATATATGTGAGATAGGGACCTTAGATTGCAAACACCTTGAGGGCAGGGGCTGATGTAAATGTACAATATAGGTAACATGTTGGTGCTATGTACTGTAAATACCTATCTTAAAGTGGAGCTCCACCCAAAAGGGGAAGTTCTGCTTTAATGCTTCGTCTTTGTCCCCCACTCCCCGTGGCACCTTTGGGAAACAGGGAGGGGGGGTGCCTAAATTTGACAGGTACCCACTCCCACTTCTAGTATGATTGCCTAAAGAGATTGGAAATGGAAGTTGTCCTCCCCCCTCCCTCCCCGTAGTCTTCAGGGACCATTCACAAAGCGCAGCCCTACCCGAGCATGCGCAGTGGGCACCCAGATGTGAAGTCGCAAGCTGTCACAGCTGGGTGCCCACACTAAGGATGCCAACGCCAAGGAGAAAATACAGCTGGTGAAACTAGTCATGGTGAGGACACTGCTGGACTGAGGGATAGGTAAGTGTCTGTATTTCAAAAGTAAGCAGCTACAGACTTTTATTTTTTTTTTATTCAACTGGAATAATAAACAGAAAATAGTTAACAGAAAAAAAACAGCTTTAATAATAAACAGATACATTTCACGTGTTGTCTTCTGCTTGTAATGTCTTCTACTTGTAACATAGTTTTTTTCATTTTGAGAAGAAATCCTGTATTAACTGATTATTTTCTGGTGTAGAGTACAAATTGGTCAGGACATGGCATAGTTCTGGAGGTGGGGATATAAATTTCACATGCTCCGTTATCTTCATGCATCTTAAAGTGATTGTAAAATGTTTTTAATTAACCATTTGTCCTTCTGAAGATTTACCCTCCTTCCTGACCAGGCCATTTTTTACGTTACGGAGCTGTGTTACTTTAACTGACAATTGTGCGGTCATGCAACGCTGCACCAAAATGAAATGTATGTGCTTTTTTTCCCATAAATTGAGCTTTCTTTGGGTGGTGTTTGATCACCTGTGCAGTTTTTATTTTTTGCGCTATAAAAAAAATACTGACAATTTTAAGAAGAAAACAATATTTTTTTACTTTTTGCTATTAAACATGTCCAGTAAAAATTTTTTAAAAAAAAATCAAATTTCATCATAAATTTAGGCCAAAATGTATTATTTTCTAAAAAAATCCCAATATGTGTAAATAAATTGGTTTGCATGAAAGTTGTAGCATTTACAAATGGCGGTATATATACTAGGATTTTTTTTAATGTTTTATTTTTACTAGTAATAGCGATGATCAGTGACTTACAGCGGGGACTGCAGTGGGCATTCTGATACTGGGGGGAACTGACTTGGTGTCACTGACATCCCCAGTGACACCAATACAGTGATCAGTGCTAATAAAAAGAACTGACACTTTACTAATGGCACTGGGCAGGAAGGGGTTAACATGTGGGGTGATCAAAGGGTTAACTGTGTGCTGTGTGTGTTTTACTGTGGGCCTGTGTGTTTGTGCTTCACTGTAAGCACACTGTTTATCATGGCTGCTATGCACAGCCATGCAAAGCAGTGTGCAGGAGCTAACGGGAGAGAATGGTTTTGTTTACAAACAGTTCTCTCCCCTATCGGAGATGCCCGGCAATCACGGGCACTGGCGAATAATCACCAGCCGGGACCCAGTGACTGACAGCCGCGGCTGCGAATACACACACACACACATATATATATATATACATATATATATGACTTTGCGCACCCATGCCGCCCTGTAGCAGTAGTTCTGCTATAGGGTGGACAGTAAGCGGTTAAAATAACAACAAACAGGTTTATAATTACGCGCTCTGTGCAATGGTTTTACACAGAGTGACCCCAATCCTCCTCTTTTGGGATCCCCCGCTGGTATTCCGGGCTCCTCCTCTTCTCTGTGTGCCCCCATAACAAGCCACTTGCTAGGGGGGGGACACCTGCAGGCTCACTCCCAAGCTGGGCTGTGTGTGTCCTTTGACACACACAGCATTG